GTTGCTGCCTTGCACCACTGCACAGCTGCAGCAGTGACAAAAGAGCAAAGCTGCTTTGTCTTTATCAGACCTTGCTGAACAACACGCGTGGAAATAGCTACTGGGGGTTGTTTCATCTCTATAAGGGGAAAAACCAGTGACATTTCTATTGATTGTGGGTTTGTGGTTGTGTAGTTTACAAAAAAAACCCCAAACCAAGTCGCTGGTAGGTGAGACGTTTTTAAACAAACTTATCTAATGGATTGGAAACCCTCAGCTCTCCCTTCACCAGGAAGAAACAGAACAGTTGCAAAAGTAACAAAGCTTCAAACCCAGGCTTGAAGTGATCTCTGCTTTCCACTCTGGTCTCCACAAAAACTAACTGTTCTTGTGGGTTACACATACCTCCAAATCCACAGCGCTGGACGGCTCAAGCCTCAGCTGGCCCCGTGCTCCTGGACAGAAGGGTTTCCACTGGAAGTGTTTTCCCCACCTAGTTTGCTGAAGATGCAATAGATGAGCTCATCCCTGTGACAGCAAGCTAGCAGCTTGGGTTGGAACGAGATGAGCTCTAAGTTCCCTTCCAACCCAAACCAGTCTGGGATTCTGTGAACTCCAGTTAGCCTAAAAGTTGTTTAAACCTTTTGCTGTTGGGCTCTTTTTTTGGATCTTGCAGCTTAGCTGAGCACTGATGTTGTTGTCAAGGAGTGAGCAGCCAAACTGTCCCTCTCCATGTTGATACTTGGCACCAGTTGCTGGTCCCTGTGCTTGGAGCAGCCTGTGCTGAAGCAGTGCTCACAAGTACTTGTGTTACACCATGTGCTGCGTTGCTGTTTCTGCTGTAAGGAAACTCACCCAGCTTCTGAGGACATTTGGAAGAACCATAGAAAAATGGAAAAAAACCTGCATTTATATTTTTATGGCTTTAGTTGGACTGTTCTTACACTCTGCATTAAATCAGTGTTTGAATGTGACTGGTTCAAGCTGTATTAATTGTGCTCTTCTGTAGCACAGTTAAAGTTTTGGTAAAAGCACACAGTTGAGTTTTAAATCTGTGATCATACCAAAGGCTTATGCTTTAAATAAAATAGGTTTACAGACTCATTGGTTAAAACCAGCTATAACAGACTCCAAACAGTCTCATGCTCTTCATTCAGTAACTAGTGAGGTTACTAGAGAGAGAAATGAGAATAGTAAAGCTTGTCTTTGCTCTTTGTTTTCAAAGCTTCAGTGCTAAGGGGCAGAGGAAACCTATTCACAACCTATTTTGCTCTCCTCATGCCTGTCTCTTTCTGCTTCAGCAGTACTGAGTTTGATGAAGGTCTTTAGTAAAACTTGATTTTAGAGCCAGAAATGACTGTTCGGTCTGTTCAGAGACATCAGATAAAGTTCTCTTCTGTAACAGATGGTGCTGCTTGTATAACATCTCAGGTGGACCCTATGTGCTGACCAGACTGAATCCTCAGGGAGTTATTGATCCAGACTCCTGTGGGAGGATGTTCTCTCAGGAGACAGAAGAAGTGCAGGTTGGAAACAGCATGTGTGGCCGCTACCTTCTGTGCCGGAAGCTCAGGACAGCGTCTGTTCCACATAGCTCGCTGTCACTTTGAACACTGAGCCTGGCATCAGCCTTTTCTGAGATCTCTCAGCAGCTGAAGAACACAAATGCTGGTGGCTGAGGAGGAAGGATCTCATTAAAGTGCAAGTGGGGGAGACAAAAAAATACACCCTGAAAACCTCCCCTATGAGTTTCTCAAGAAAGCAGCTCCTTCGTCAGCACAGCCTGGGTAAAACTGGGTTCAAATCTCACCTGTACCTATACTGATACTTGGGGTTTGGTGCAGTTTGCTTTCAGAGTGGTAAAGCTTTCCATGTAGCAGAACTGTGTTTCCACTATAAAAAACTCTTGGCAGATGAACAAGTTACAACCATCCTCTTTTTGTACTGCATTCATGAGTGGAGCTTATTGTTTTAGTCAGGTTTGTGTTTCTTATTCAACACTCAGACTTGTCTGTCTCTGTAGAAGAAACTGAAAGCCACTTCCCAAGGGAGAAGTCTAAACCTTTAACACCTTCCACAAGACCAGGAGGTTGAGTAGGACTCAAGGTCCACCTTGCTCAATACAGCCTAGCACTGACCACAGCTGCGCAAACCAGATCCTGTACAGGAGCAGGGCAAGATCCTGCCTGTATCATAAATCAGCAGCCTGTTGGCTCGGGGACCTCAAAGCCAGTTTGTCTGGGCTGAAGACGCACTGCTCAGCAGACAGATCATTACTCTTGGCTGAAACAAGGCCCAAGTGTTGCTGTCTGAGGGACTTGGAGTTTCTTTTCCGGGAGGCAGTCAAGCTGCAGCCTGCCTTGTAAGCTCTGATTTAACCTCTTTGATGATACACAGCTTTCTAAAAAGGGGAGAAAACCCTCCTGAAGCAGATGGTTTCTACCTCCCTAGAAACTAAGCTCATTATTCTTTTCAGTCTTCAAGTTTCAATTAGGGGCCGAAAAGAGAAGATGAGAATTATGGCTGATGCCAGAAACAGGTTTTGGAACATAAGGTGTGATTTCCAAACTCCCTAAATGACTGAGTACAGGCCTGCTGAAAAAGCCCTTGCTTAATTCCAGTTGAAAGAACTGTTTGGCCTCATTCTCATCATTAGATAACGTAAGAAAAGGTCTCTGTAAAGATACCACGAATTTCCTGTATGCAAACACCATCAACACCATACCCAGGGGGAGGAAAGGGGCAGGACAAGGAACTGCAGTTCCGTTTATTATCTGACCATAATTACATCTTCAAAAACGCTTCCTTAGACACAAAGCTCCCTTCTGCTCCATTCAAATCCAGGAAGTAACAAGGTGCTGCTGCTCCTTTTCATAGAAAAACTGGCTAATCATCTAGAGAAGTTTCTCACTAAAATATATATTTATTTTAAACACCTTTACAGAACCTCCAAACAAGCAGAGGGCAGGGGAAAGCAGCTCCTAAAAGCCAAACAAAGGGTTATGCTAAAATCTTCCTGCATTGACCCACCTGTAACCTGCTCTGGTCACTGTTCCTTGTGTTGGAGCTTCTTCAAAGCCTTTGTGATAAGATTAAAAGACCACAATAATCAATTGCTATTGGGAAAGAACATCCTGAACTGAAGTTTTGGGGGTGATTTAAGAGTTGCCATACCTTGCCTCCCTCTGCTCTGCAATCCTAACCTCTTCTCCACAGGCGCTCCATCACACTGCAGTAACTCGCCATGTACGACGGTTAATGTGAATAAAGTGTCTGCACTGTACCTGCTCACACTGCTGCACGTCTGGTTTGTTCCAGTCTGCCAGGGCTCCACAAAAGATCCTCTGTTCTCTTCAACTCTAGCACAGGGGAAGATTTACAGGAGCGCTGCCCTGACACAAATCCCAGTGGTACAGGACAGCTGGGGGGAAAAAGCCGTATTTGAGATAAGCAGGCAGTTTTGGCAATCAAAACAGAGGAGAAAGTGAAGGGCTCCTACTCTCTTAGTGTTCTCCAGGGAGCAGGATAGCACTTTAGTTCCTCGTTGCACTCTAAAGATGCATTAATGTCATTTTGGATAATAGCAGCTAACCACAAAACACAACTGAAGGATGTTAATGCATCCAGAGTCGTGGTCGTGCTGCTTTTACATCATTGCTACAGAGGAGCTGCCATCACTAACCCTCCTCTGCTGGATTTGTTAATTGTGGAGTGACACAAGGCAACAGCACAGAGCTAAAAGCAGAAATCCATGCTGGGCAGCTTAACCAGCAAACACCGACGCCCAAAGCTTCAGTTTCGGAAGTCCCACAGCCATGGCAGCTTTGTGTATGCCTCAGTATGCAGGGGGGAGGACACGAAAAACTACTTAACCCAATACTTGATGTAAAGTATCATGGTTCCACCTTTATTTCCCAAAAGCAGTTGGTTTAGGACCTGTATCAAGCTGTGGATAAATCCCAAAGGCAACAAACTGACAGTAGCAGAGAAGAGGAAGGCTGAGATTGTGCTGTTCAAGGGTAAAAACATTTTGAAAGCATCTATAGTGCCACGTGGGCATTAAAATTCCCTGCTCTGCTCACCAAGGGGCTGCTTTGCTGCCTTGCAGCTCCAGTAAATGATTTCTCCTAAAATGGAACTGTCAGGAGGGTGTAACTAAACCATTCAGAGCACGGCTGCTCACACTAAAACAATTCACATTCAGCACTGAGGCTGACCTATCATCTTTGCTGCAAAGGCTTGTTCATTTTTTCCCCTGCAAACCAATCTTACACCTCATGCTGGGCAACACAAACTCTGAAGGCAGAACTCCAAACCCATGGGCAGAGCTTTCCTGAGGCTCGTTTACCACGTTTCTCAGCACAATGAGGAATTTGGCAGACTTTTCTACTAGCTGCTTCCCCAACAGCCAGCCTTGAGCACTCGCCTTGCCATGGGCCAGCTTTGCAACCTGCTTAGCTCCCACAGAGAAGCTTAACTTCAGGGTAAGCCAGGCTGTGCTAGTCCTGAGCCTGGCCTCCTGCTCTGCACTTGCCCTGGTGAGGTGCTACCTTCACCCCCTCTCCGAGCATTATTACCACTGACCTTCCTACAGCCCCTGTAGGACTTCCTCCATGCCTACAAGTTCAGCCACTGGAAGGGTTTGATCTCTTTGGGGTCCAGGATCCTAAGTCACTACTGCTGGCTTTTCTAAACATACTGGGTACCTCAGCATCCTTCTGGAGGACTTACACCTAACCCATGAAGACTGCCAACCCTGCAGAAAGATGGATCTCCAGCCTCTTGTAGTAAGCTGTGACCACAGTAACAGTAGCTACACAGAAACCTCTTCTGGTTGCTGCAACTACGCCTTGGGACAAGGTGGTGACCACATACTAAAATCATCAACAGAAACTGCTGTATTTAGACTGACTGAGAGTGGGATGATGCCCCTGAGGGTCAGGGCGAGGGCTGGTCCCTTTCCCACATCAGCAGGCAGCCGGAGATGCTCCTGCACCTGCCTGTCCTGACCAGAGTCCCTCCTACTCCACTGCCTGGGAGCTCTTGCGCTTCTCTCTCCTCTGCTCCTCAGCCGCTGCTGGTGCTGGGGTTTCCTTGGGGCTCACTTCTGAGCCTGGTTCTGGTTCCAGAGGCAGCGAGGAAGACTTTGCAAGTGGGGCTGGAGCTGCAGCACCTGAGGAGAGAACACAGTTACAGTCACTGTATGACTACCCATGTTGTGTCTATTCTCTTTGCCCTTCCAGGCAGCATGGAGATGCAGAACAACCACAACGATCAGCTACTCTCAGGTTTCTTCTGTCCATCAGTAGCACTCAACTCTTTTGTGAGTTACCCAGTCAGAGACCTTACAGTACTCAAAGTTCTGCTGAAGGGAAGCCCAGTATCTCATTTGGCTGGGCTGCTGTGATAAGTCAGTACAAGCTTAGGCAGTAGTTCATGCTTCCGAAAGGAAAACAGTACCACTGAAGCTGGTTTATACTCAGGTATCATTTTCAGTTCACAGTTTTAGCAGACTCAGGGAGAGTTTCCAGGCAGTTCAAGTAGCTACTTTGAGAATAAAATCAAAGCAAGACACTGCCATGCTCAAGTTGTTTCTACACTTAGCTTTAGGCTGACAAGCGATGATTTGAACCAGCTCCCTTCTCTGATATGGATAATGAAGTCCTGCAGGTAAGCCCTAAACTCCTTTTACATTTTATTTTTCAGCTTTTCTGGCTTAGTCTTCCCTGCATGGGAAGTTTGTTCCGTTTGTGAGAAGTGGAACAGCTCCTTAGGGGGAGCAAAGCAAGAGGCCTGGATTACACAACCTCTCTCCCGCTTCGGTCTGCAGGCAACAAGACTAATGGTGACAGAGTATCACCATGATGAACCCAGTGCATTCCTCCTGGGAAGCCAAAGGGTGAGAGGAGGTCAGCCTATGATGGTGGCTCAGGAGATGCTCCTACCCAGCCCCAGCAAGAAGCAGCAAGTACAGCTGTCAGTGTAAAGCTCCTAAGGCTGACACTATCTCCTGAGCAAGCTTCAGCCCAGGAGCCACCACTAAAAGGTAATCCAGCTTCAGAGCAATCCCACTGCAGTTATTTTTGTAACAGAAATGATAAACTGTTTCAGAATACCCATAATTCCCTTTCTCTCCAGCCACCTCTCTGTGCATGGCAGCTCCTGGGCTCTTCCAAAGGAAGACAAGAGGTCTGGTTTCTGAAACCACCCCCTGCCCAGAGCAAGAGCTCAACCCTGTGCTAGTGGAGTCCTGCCCATAGTGGCTCAGACAGGAAGGGAAACTTCACTGGCTCTCCACACCCCTACAAAGCAGGATAGTATAATGTACCACAGAAAGCTTCTTTCCATGCTTCCTTAACTCAGAAATCTGGGACAGTTAGTACCAAATATTGACACCACTACTGTGTAAGCAAGTCAATACCTTCCTAGACATGTGCTGTAACTCTTTACCCAAAGGAGGAGAGATTTCTCTTCTCCCCTCCCACAGTTCTACTTTTAAGAGAAGCAAAAGAGAAGTACCTGAGGGCAGCTGCACGGTTCTCCCATAGCCTGCAGCTGAGGACATGGCTTGACCCAGGGCCTGGTTAGAGCCCAGTGGCTGCTGAGTGCTGGGGGATTTGCCTGACAGAGCAGCTTTCTGCTTGGATTTAGATTCTTTAGAAGACTTAGTCCAGACCAAGCTCTCCCCTACTTGCAGGGCAGCTCCCATCTTCTGGGCAACCTCCACCATCTCAAGAAGCAAAGAGAGAAGACCATTGTAAACAGGAACACTTCAGACAACAGTAAAATCAGCCATACCACAACCCCCCTGACAAAACGAGAGCTGGCAGAGCTGGCCACTGCCATGGTGCTCGAGGGAAACATCTCCACTAATTCATTCCCTTAATTAAGAGGGAATCTTGTCTTGCTGTGTATTGATTGAAGCACTAGGAATGAAGCAAGCAGCTCTCAGCGGGTGGCTGCTCTACTTGGAAATCTCATAAGCAGAATTGCTTCCTAAGAACTGGACTCCAAAGTCAGATTTCCTCCTCGGCTGCTGCCAGCCTTGGTGTGTTGAAAACTGTCAGGCACATACCTCAGGGTCAAAGTCAAGAGTACTGTTCTCTGTCAACGCATTGACCTTCTTCTCCATCTCCTGGTACTGACAGAGGGCTCCCTTCTTGTCACCCTGGTTATAGAGCAGGACAGCGTAGTTCAGGTTGACCAGAGGATTGTACCTGCAGCAGACACACAGGATGCATCACGTTCACTTCAGTAACACTTACCCAGACCTGCACCCAAGCAGCAAGGCTGGAGACACCACTCTGCCTGGCACAGACAAGCCACAGGCACTGTGACCCCAAAGCAGACGAGAGGCTGCACAGGACATGTGAAAGTCCCATGTGCTCAGCAAGAGACCCGGCACTTGGGCTCAGCAAAGTATCCCAAGTGTCCCTGACAATACAAACGATCCTGTGGGTCACCTCAGCCCTGCAAGGCTTTTCCCTGCAACAGCCAGTTCTTTGCACTTGGGGACCACCTTGGGACTGTCTTCAGTAGGTGCCTGGTCACCCAGCCCCTTGCTCCTGGCACAGGTATAGCAGTGAGGGGGGCTTCACTGTGGAAGCTGATCTCTGCTCTGACTTACCTCAGGCTCTTCCAGCTTGTACGAGAGCAGCTGGTCATGGAACAGGGCAGTGGAACAGACTCAGGCTTATTGACTGTATTTTACAACCCAACATGCTACAGAACATGATGTTTACATTTTATTTCCCTCACCTCTTCTCTCATTCATCCAGTACAAGCACACATAACTGTATGGACTGTTACAGACAAACAGGAGGCAATACCCATTAGCGAAGGACTCGAAGAGGAGACCAGTCCCCCAGATAACACTGTTACGTGGGCAGTGCTGCCTCCCTTCTTGATGCAGAAAAGCACATGAAGAGGGGAGATTGAGATGAGCTCTGAGGCAGAAGTTCTTCCCTGGGAGGGTGCTGAGGCGCTGGCACAGGGTGCCCAGAGAAGCTGTGGCTGCCCCATCCCTGGCAGTGTTCAAGGCCAGGTTGGACACAGGGGCTTGGAGCAACCTGCTCTAGTGGAAGGGGTCCCTGCCTGTGGCAGGGGATTGGGACTGGATGAGCTTTAGAGTCCCTTCCAACCCAAACCAGGCTGGGATTCTGTGATGATTTCAAAAATCACTCCATATATTCTCATTTTCTACAGTATCCATTTTCTTCACTAGGATACATTAACCCCAAACAGCAACTTTTCTTCTGGCATAGCCAGGAGGGAGCAAACTAAACCGGAGGGGAGAGTGAGCTGACTCCTTGTCTCTGTAATTGATACCTGAAGCTCTTGGAGAGCTGATCCTTGCCTCACAAGCCACACTCAACAAACTGCCCTGTCCTTCATCAGCCTGAATCTCACCCTTATTTTGGAGGAGCAAAATGCACGTGTATTATCTGACACAGAAATGAAACGCAGGAATCTGCGTATCTGCACACAGGTCAGCGAGAGACGCTTTGTAGTTTGCTCAAGAAATGTGAGCAAGGGACTAGTGCCCTCTCCTGGAGCTTGGCAGGGATAAATGGAGCCATCCGAGGACTCCGGCACCCGCACTGAGGGCCAAGCCAAGAGAGAGCATCCTTTGTGAGGAGCACAGAAGGGAAGGCTTCTGCTAACACTGTTCGATAAATAGGAGTGACATCTGCAGACCAGGACTATCCATCCTCAGTAAGTTATGTGACAGTGCTGCAAGAAAGAAGACTATTAGAAGAAATCTGAGAGCATCTATACCCATTGCTTTTCCTTTAAATGGAACTGGAATGCTGATCCTGCATCCCACAAAATCCCTCCTCAATGTCTTTGCCAAAGCAAAGGAAGTAGTGCATCAACAAATGAATAATCAAAGCCCCAGCTCTTTGCCATCTCCCTCAAAAAAGCCAAACCACAAGAAACCAAACCTACACAGCAAAACCCTGAAGAGATGAGACACATCTGGGAAAAGCCAGTTTCAATCAAATTCATTGACCCTCATGAAGCTAATTCACCATCAAGAGCTGAGAAGCAACATGACAGTTAGAAAAAAGCCACTAGCTAAAGAACCCCAGAATAAAGGACAGCTCTGAGCTAGAACTCATAGTACTAAGAAGAAACACCTTTTTGAAAGGTTTTTCCAAGATGCTTTCCACTGCAGACCCCATGGCACCCATGGCACTCAGGTCAATGTCAACCAAGTACTTTTGGCAATGGAAACAAACGTGGCTGTCTTCATCCCAGACAAGTTCTTCACATGCCAGCAAAGAAAGCCTGTGGGGACAGGGATTCATCCACACAGTAAGAGTCTGAGGAGTCCCTAAGGTCCTGCAGTGCCTTTCTAGGCCTGGAAGGCTGCGTAGGAAAGCCAGGAGTCAACTGGCCTTGATGCTGTTGGTAGGAACAACCGATACATCATTGCAAATGTTCTCCTATAGCAATCCATTTACAAATCCTGGAGCACAGATTCCCAGGTTTGGTTCCCAGGAGGAGGATGCACAGACTTACCCACGTTTGAAACAGATGTGGATGCAAGATTTAAACCTGCTTTGGAGTTCTCTTGATGCATAAGTATGAAGAACCCCGGTGCCGGATGTGTGCAGCATGTTCAAGACAAGTAATTCCCAGTAAATGTTTGAGAGCATTTACAGCACCTCATCACAAGAACTGTACCGGGGTTTGAAACCTGCTGCCCTTTACAATGGGTTTAGGAGCTTACAGAATTCCCCAAATTGAGCCTGGTCAGTGCACCCATGTTAGAGAGGACAGAGGAAAAGGGACCAGCATCTTCTCATGCCACCTTGTGGTGGCCACCGCAGATGGAAAGTGCTTTTGCAACCACTCTGTGGCCGGCATACAGAGTCCTGGCTCAGGAGCAGCATGCTGGTGACTCTGAGTATGCAAATATCCCCTGTAAACTGGGGAGAGAGACAAAATTTGAGACAAATTTGAGTTTCTGTCTTAAACTCTGAAACGCTGTGAGGTTCATCTTCACATTTCTGAAGCCAAGAGCTCGGATTTTAAGAGCTGGACTGCAAACAGAGACGTGGTTCACAACATGGAGAAGAAAGGACAACGCTGCTGCTCTTTTCTATGCTTTGTATGAATTTCTTGCCCACATTCTCCAAGCTAAAAATCTTCCCTCTGCCCAATTCAGAACAGGCTTTACCCAGAGCATCCCACTGCTCCGCACCGTGCACAGACTTTGGGTTACTAAAGATTTGGGAATGGATGGTTTTCTTGTATTGAATCTGCACCATGGTGTACAAGTATTCAGTGAAAGGAGGGCTGGAATCCAAAGTCATTACCACTGACTCACTAACTAAACAGCAAAACAGAAACCAGCTTTGGGTTGGTCTGAAACAAAATTTCCCCTTTAATTTTTCAGAGCTGACTTGAAATTTAGTTTTGTTTTCTTTTTTTTTTTTTTTTAATAAAAAAGAGTGGGTTTCAAACAGTCACCTGCAGAGCTGAAGGAATAGAAATGGTTCCTCACTGCAAACCTTTCAGGGTCAAAGCAAACTGAGGGACAGAGCATGCAAAGGAAACCAGGCTCATGAGGAAAAGCAATGCACTCAAGCAACTGACAGCCACCAGCAAGACTTACTTGTCCAGTGCCACAGCTTGCTCATAGGAACGCTTTGCATTCTCGATGTCTTCAAGGTTTGTCAGAGCAACTGTAAAAGCAAAATGTACACACACAACTTGATGCTTCACAAGGACTTCATTGCCACCTGTGTGCTGGGCTGCACCCCCAGAGCGTGAGCAGCAGCTCAGGGAGGGGATCCTGCCCCTCTGCTGTGCTCTGGGGAGACCCCCCCTGCAGCCCTGATCCAGCTCTGGGGAACAGCACAAGAGGGACGTGGAGCTGCTGGAGCGAGGCCAGAGGAGGCCCCGGAGCTGCTGCGAGGGCTGGAGCAGCTCTGCTCTGGAGCCAGGCTGAGAGAGCTGGGCTGGGGCAGCTGGAGAAGAGAAGGCTCCTCAAGGGGACACCTTAGAGCAGCTCCAGTGCCTAAAGGGGCTCCAGGAAACCTGGAGAGGGGCTTTGGACAAGGGCCTGGAGGGACAGGACAAGGGCAATGGCTCGAACCTGCCGGGGGGGGGGTTGAGATGAGCTCTTG